TTTCTTTAGAGTCCATCAGTAAGTTTTGCACCTCATTGAACAGTTTTAACTGAGAACTCTGTTTCTGTTTTACATGTTGTTGGTTTCTGTGGTTAAACATGAAGTTCAGTCAGACGTGAGTCACTTGAACATGCAAATTATTAGAAGTTCAAGTTTACGTCTTAAAACATAAACTTGTGTGGACGAGGAAGTTTTTCTTGTTTTTAGCCCATCATTCTGCAAAGTACATTTTTTTGTTTGTTTCACTTCACTTTTTTCCTCCAGAATTAATTAAAACTGGGCGTTCGTGGCTGACTTTTGTTTGTCGTTGCTGTTGCTTTGGTACAAACACAGAAAACAGGAAGCTGTCACCTTCAGATAGACTCAGAAAAAGACAGCGGCCGTCATTGTGAAGCAACACATCCAAAGGTTTATTTGGACTGAAAAGATAGAATCAGCAGATGAAGAAGTCAGACACATAAAAAAGCAAAAGAAACAAAGGAAACTTAAGTCAAGCATCAATTTCACGCTTTTACTTGAGCTTTTAACTGCATCTCAGAGCTTCACTTTCTGCAGTTGACAAAAAAAACAACTTTATTTTTCTCTAAGCTGATAAAATCACATATTACAGCGAAAGAGACAAACAGAAGGAGACAAAGTGATGGCTGACAGGCAGCAATGGATGGAAACTTCTGACTCTGAAGAAAGAAATAAAACATACTCTCCTTATTCTGGCGTTTAGCAAATAGACATAATGTTGGTCGTCCTACTGGCCTGAAACAGGAAAAGTTTTGTCTGATTTAAAGTCAGACTCTGAGAAAAAAACCTTGTATGCGTGTCTTATTTAATGATATTGATATTTAATGATTTAATAAAGTTACACCTTTACTAACAACAGTGACATACAAAACAGTGACATCAGCTAAACAGACGGTCTGCATTTATATCTACTACAGTCATTGGTTGCTGTCTGGTGCCAGCGCCACACAGAACACAGCAGTTAACCACAGACTATTTATTCATTCATTTATTATTTGGACACAGTCTCAGGTCTCTGTGCCTCCAGGACAGTCATATGCTACCAAAGCAGTCTTCCACCTCCCTGTTTTCTAAAGTAGAGCCTCACACAGTGTCACCACATGGTCATTTTCACACTCACGTTTGCACACACTTCCATCCACTGCCAAAATCGGGGACATTTTCAGGGACAGCTTTAACTGGGGACAGTCCCTGATTTGGGTGACCTGTCCACGGAAATTGTGGACGTCTGGTCGCCCTAAGTTAGGTGCATGAAATCGTCTAGGAAGAATCTACGAGAACAAGCCCGAACAATAAAGTAAATGAGCTTCGAGGTTACACACTGGAGCAAACTTGATGAGGATCATAAAGACTAAATGACATTTATTTGACATAATGGATGAATGTTCCAAGAATTTTAAGACACTTGGGATGTTTGGAATTATACTTGTGTAAAAAAATATGTAGTAAATTCAAGAGAAAACTTTAAAAAAATTAAAGCCGCAAGCAGCATTTGACGGGTCCTCACACCTACGCTTGTCGGCCTTCGCGCACGTCGGGTTGTGGCGCAAACGTGTTCTCGGCAGGACTCCGATCCGGCATGTCAACTTTCAGGCAGATCGGAGCAAGTGCGGCCTAGTTATGAGCCACTTCCTGTTTAGTGGCGAGCCGCGGCGGCATGTGTGTTGATGCTGTGGTGGAAATGCCCTATGGAGGAGATAAATTTTGAAAATGGCCAAAAATGGCCAAAAGTCACCCAGAATCAGTCAAAAAACGTCACGTTTCAGAATGTCCTGAAAACGCATCAGGATGTAGTATATAGTGGGAAAAGTGTCCTGAATGTGTTCAAAGACAGCCTAGGAAGGTACTTCTGGAAAAAAAAAGCACATGATGTATTTGGGCCTCAATCAAGAAAAGTCATACTATAGTATGGCGTTTTTGTCAAAAATGGTCATGATTCAGAATGTCGTCAAAACCTGTCAGGATGTAGTACACAGTGGATATACTTCAATGCATGTCGTAGAAATCATCTGAGGAAAGTATTTCACAAAGAAAAGTCATTTTGAGTTTTGGGGTGAAATACAAAAGTCATGCTATAGGGCTGCTGCTATAGCTCACCTGGTTGAGCTGGTGTCCTATGTGTAGGGCTGCAGTCCCAATGTGGAGGTCATGAGTTCAAATCC